ACGAATTAAACTCGTAAGTCAAGGCCCCACTGTATTTTTATTGATTTCAGAGAGGAAGGGAGAGGGAGAGAGATAGACATCAATGATGAGAGAGAATTATTGATTGGCTGCCTCCTGCCCGCCCCCTACTGGGGATCGAGCCTGCAACCCATGCCTGTGCCCTTGACCAGATTTCAACCCAGGACCCTTCAGTCCGCAGGCCAACACTCTCTCCACTGAGCCAAACCAGCTAGGGTCACATTCTCTTTCTCTGCAGAGCTGCGGCTGGCGTGGTGGATGCCGGCAGGACCTGCTGCTGGGGCTCAAACCCTCCAGCCCCCCGACTCGGTACACCTGCCTTCCCCCGACTTCCTCTAACACTTGCCATTTCTCATGCCTCCGGTGGCTTCTTTGCTGCCCTGGCAGGTACCAGCCCTTCCTGCTTGCTGCTGCACAGCTTCCTTCCTTGTCTTCTACAGATCCTTCTAGAAAGATCACCTGCTCCGTGAGGTTGTCCCTGACCTCCCTCGTCACTTTGCACCTGCCCACCCCCACCCTCCTGGTCCTCTTCCCGCTTTGATTGTTCTGCCCGCCACATGTGTTTACTCGTTTCGTTTTCTGTCCCCACCCCCGTCCCCCCAGCAGGAAAGTGCCAGGAGGGCAGCAGGCTTCCTGTGTCACTGCTGTGTGCACAGCGCCCAGCTGACACCTGTCACTTAGCTGGCCGGGGGCAGGCAGTGCCTGGGGGAGTCGTTTCAGCTACCCTCGGGCAGCCGGTGCCTCAGCCCCCCTCCTGGCCGCCCCCACGTGACTCCTCGTGCAGCAGGCGCTCTGACCGGGTTCTGGTCTGCGGGCAGAACAACAGCGCCCCGCCCCAGAGACCGCACTCTCCGCGGGCCTTTGTCTTTTTTGGCCTCAGCTCATCGGAAGCTTTAACCAGCAGAGCTTGGAGAGATCGCCTCACCTTCTGGTTATTTCAGCTGCTTTCAAGGCTCTCTCACGGGCTGCGTGGCCACGGCGAGGCCCCGGGGAGCCGGTCAGGTGATGGACTCCTGCTCTGGTATTGGCACCGCCAGGCACAGAGCACATCTTCGGGTGGCCTCACCCCGTTCACTTCTCGCTCTTCTAGACAACAGCCCACCTGTGGGCCACGCCACTTCTATGCGTCTTTGTCTATAAACAAGCCGGGACCCGAAGGGAGGCCAGACTTGAGCAGACCCAGCAGTCCTGCTTTAAAACAGGGGTCATGGAAAAGAACAGGAGTCATTGCGAAGCTGACGGCAACTCCAGTTCACTGGACTGCGGCCCGAGGAGCTGGGAGCCGGGGCAGGCTCCACACTGATGCTCCGCAAGGAGGCAGCCCGGCCAGTTCTGCTCCCACAGAGCAGATGGCGCCGAGGGGCCTTCCTTGTGGAGTTTGTTGAGTCAGGTGGTCAGGCGGCTTCCAGCCTGCGGAAGGAGGGGTGAAGGCTTTGTTGGCCGAAGACGCCCCCTTTCTTCCTTAGCCCACAGCAGTGCATCTTGTCTGTGTCCACGTTCTCTTCTGAGAAGGGGGGGGCGGTGGGTAAGGAAAAGTTGGGTCCAGCCAGTGTGGCTCAGTGGTTGAGCATCAACCCATGAACCAGGGCGTCACTGGTTCAATTCCTGGTCAGGGCACATGCCCAGTGAGGGGCGTGCAGGAGGCAGCCGGTCGGTGATTCTCCTCATTGATGTTTCTATCGCTCCCTCTCCCCTCTTCTCTCTGAAATCAATAAAAACATACTAAAAAGGGGAAAAAGGAAAAAGTGTCAGATAAGGGATTGAGCTTGGTCTCAGCTTGGATCTTTGAAAAATAACCCCGCCAGCTTTCCCGAGATATAATCGACAAACAAAAATTGTATATATTTATGGTGTCCAACATGATGTTTTGATTGTGAAGTGATTGCTGCAGTGAAGCTGATGAACACATCCATCCCCTCGCGTATGACCATTTATTTATTTTTTTCGTGGTGAACACTTTTAAGATCTACTGTCTTAGCAAATTTCAAGTTTGCAATACGGTATTATTAACTGTAGTCCAGAAGTTATTCGTCCTGCATAGCTGAATGTTTGTAACCTTTGACCAGCCCTCCCCACTTCCCCACCCCCGACCCCAGCCCCTGGCCAAAGCAGCGTTCTACTCTCTGCTTCTGCGAGTTGCACTTCTTTAGATTCCACACGTTAGTGCGATCATGCAGTGTTTGTCTTTCTGCGCCTGGCTTATTTCACGTGGCATGGTGTTTTCCAAGTTCACCAGGTTGTTGTAAATGACAGGCTTTCCTTCTTGTGAAAGGCTGAGCAATCCTGCATTGTTTATATGTGTTCTCTAGGCAGCACATTTTCCTTCCTTATTCACCCATCGGTGGACACGTGGGTTGTTTTCACATCGTGGCGGTTGTGAAAAATGCCGCAGTAAACACGGGGGGCAGATATCTCTTCAAGAGACTGATTTCCTTCCCTTTGGATAAATACCCAGATGTGGGGTTCCTGGGTCCTACCGCCATTCTCTCTTTAATGTTTTGAGGAACCTCCATACTGTTTCCCAAAATGTCAGCTTGGATCTTCTTTTTTTTTTTCCTGCTGGGGTCTTATAGTCTGTGGCTTAGAGTCCATCCTTAGAATGTCCTGTTTGCCTTTTCATTGTAGTTTAGAGAAATAAAGGGGGAGAGGATTAGCTGTCTCCCTGGAAGTGTGGGCCTGCAGGATACCGACGCAATGGAGCGCTGGCTACATTGGCTTATTTCCATTCTACGGAAATGTTAAGTATTTCGTGATTCTCTTTGAAAATCCTCAAAGGAATGTTTTATCATGGAACAATTAAGCAAAAACCATCTATCTTTCCACCTTCATTTTAGCTTCTTTCTTAAGCGAATATTTTTTTTTTAAGTCGTTCTGCGTGGGGTCCCTCTGAAATGGATTATCGACCAGGAATGAGGCCACGCCAGTGTTCCAAGCTAAGTAGCTTCAAGCAGGAAAGCCTCCCGTGGTTGTTGCTCGTGGTCAGAAGCCAGTGGCATGGAGGCTGGGAGTCAACCAGCGGGCCCACGAGTGTTTGCTGGGCACCCTCCTGGTGCCAGGGCTCGCTCTCCCAGAAAGGGAGACGTCCTTGGGGCCCCAAGATCAACAAATACCAGTGGAATCCAATTGGCTTTGGAATAATAACTCTCCTTTTGGGAAACAGACATTTGCATTTCTGCACAATGGATTCATTGACCTCTAGAGGCCCTGCCTGTTTCCTTGGGCTTCCTTTTGACGGTTGAGTCTGTATCTTCCCATCCCTCTGAGTTTACCCAGGTCTCCCAGCGTCGACACATCTCCAGCTAGCCCCATCCACTCGCGTTGGCCACGGGCCGGCTTCGCCAGCTGTGCGCTCCTTCCCCAGGCAGGATCGCATCGTGCCGTGTTAAATTCGGCTCTCCTTTCATCTTCTCCGGAGGTTGGGTGTCCAACTGAGCTTTTCACTTGGTCCAGAATTCAAGTCTCTCTCTCCTTACGAACTTCGTAAAGTTCCGGCTTTTAAGTGAACTCGGGGTGATGGGGTTTTGTCTTATGGTTCCCATTTGCAGCCCGTGTGGAACGCATCACCCTCCACCCCTGTCTTTCGGACCCGGACGTGTTTGTGTTTGTCCCCGGGAGCCCACTCTTCCCCAGTTGGGCTTGTTTTCTTCCGGGACCTGCTTCAGGGCGTTCTTCTTTCTTGGGCATCTTGCTGATGAAGGGGTGACTCAGCCCAGCAGAAGCTTGATAGAAGAACGGAACCCAGGCCACGGCCTGACCTCCTGAGCCTGCTTTACTTTATTTATTTTTAAAACATTTTTTATTGATTTCAAGAGAGGAAGGGAGAGGGAGAGAGAGATAGAAACATCAATGATGAGAGAGCATCATTGATTGGCTGCCTCCTGCACACCCCTCACTAGGGGCCGAGCCTGCAACCTGGGCATGTGCCCTGACCGGGAATTGAACCATTGACCACCCGGTTCATAGATCGATACTCAACCACTGAGCCACATTGGCTGACTGAAGCTGCATTTTGAGTTCCCCAGTTAATTTGTATGTACACTGAAGTGTGAGAAGCACAGGTTGAGTATATACCTTTAGATTTTCTTATTAAAAATGACATTGTCAAGATGTAAATGGACAGTTTCATTAAGAAAAAAAAATTTCTACCATTTTATTATGAAACAATGTAAAAAGACACTGCAAAATTTAAAGAGTCTACAATGAGCTCCCATAGGATCTCCACTTAGATTCTACCATGAACTTATTTCTTTACAGTTCCTTTTTCTCCCTATTAATTTCTGTCAAGATTTTTAAAAATATGTTCTTATTGATTTTAGAGACAGAGCAAGGGAAAGGGAGAGAAAGGTAGAAACATCGATGCGAGAGAAACATGTAACGGCTGCCTCCTGCAGGCCCCCTATTGGGGATCGAGCCCGCAGCCCTGGCATGTGCCCTGACCGGGAATCAAACCAGCAGCCTCTTGGTGCACAGGGTGACACTCAACCAATTGAGCCACCCTGGCCGGGCATCTGTCAAGAATTTTGTACGGGATTGTTTGCAGCACAACTGTTAGAAAAGGTCGTATCAGGGTCGTACCCTTTCTTCTAGATTCCTCGGTGGGTTTGCTAACGTCACAGTCAGTGTGGGGATTTCAGAGAATCAGAGAAGCCTGGTGGGTGGCAGTGGGGGGGCCCTGGGGTCATGTAGAGTGGCGTGCTGGTCCTTGCCCCATCCAAACACGGGCCTCGGCATCCTCGTGTATACAGTGAGCGGGTTGAGAGAGGTCATCTCTGATGTCGCTCCCACCCCTGTGATCATAGGCTCGCTGTAAACATTATCATCACTGTTTCTCAGGTGGAGAAACTGATGAGCCAGTGAAATATTCGAATAATAAGGAAAACATGTGCTGGCATGGAAAAGCCATTATTTCCTAGGCTACTGAGTCAAACACAGCTGCGCTGGCACTTTTCACTCTGTTTTCTTGTCGATTTTTGTTCTTTCAGGAAACCTCACAGAAACATGAAGCCCTCAGCCACCTGGAACTCAGAAACTCACTGGGGACCGACGGCGGCTTCTGGAACGTCCAGGTGTTCTGCAGATGTGAGGTTGTGCCCCGCACTCAGCAGCTGGAGTCCCGACCAGATGCGAGACCTGTGCTTCGGCTCTGACATCCCTGGGCACAGCGGGGTCACTTTCTAATCGGCCAGAGCTGCACACAGCCAGTCATCTTAGGGGAAAGCCACATTTGGGGGGTGCAGCTTTCCTGACTCTCTTGAGTTAGGATTCTAGATGGGGCCTCATTTCTGCAGCTCCCACCCTCCACATAGGCGGCACCGCCACCCCCGCCCCCACCAGCACGCGGGGCGGGCCTCAGCATTCCCATCTTTACAGTGAGGGTATTGCAGTATCTTCTTGCAAAACACCAGCCTCCCTGCGTTGAGAGTGAGCCAAAGGGGACTCTCAGAGACGCCTCTCGTGGTGGCCCGCCGTCATCCCATAGAACCGGAACCCGCCCCTTCCCACCATGGCCTGGCTTTTTCTAAAGGTTTTATTGGTGGGGGTGAGTTTCTTGGGATGTCTTTATCCTCTTGTGGATTTTTGCTTCAGTGGGGAAACAAGAGCCCCGAAACCAAATTTCGTGATCATTTTGGCAGATGACATGGGGTGGGGTGACCTGGGAGCAAACTGGGCAGAAACAAAGGACACTGCCAACCTTGATCAGATGGCCGCCGAAGGAATGAGGTGAGTTGAGGATGCTAAGTCCTAATCTATATATATAAAAGCCTAAGCAACCGAACAACCGGCCAACCAATTACTATGATGCACACTGACCACCAGGGGACAAATGCTCAATGCACAGGATCGGGCTCCTTCCTGTCTGGATCGGGCCTGCGGGGATTGGGCTCCCTCCTGTCTGGATCTGGCCTGCCGGCATCAGGCTGAAACTGGCTATCCGACATCCCCCCAGGGGTCCCAGATTGTGAGAGGGTGCAGGCCAGGCCAAGGGACCCCACCAGGATTCATGCACTGGGCCTCTAGTATATGTATAAAACATATATATATATATATTTCAGAGAGGGAGAGAGATAAAGGCATCAATGATGAGAGAGAATCATATAGGCTGCCTCCCGCACGTCCCCCACTAGGGATCGAGCCTGCAACCCGGGCATGTGTCCTGACCAGGATTTGAACCATGACTTCCTAGCCCATAGATCAACGCTCAACCACTGAGCCACGCTGGCTGGGAAGTCCACTTTTTGGATGTGTTACTTGCCTCTTTTGCATGGAGGGGACAGCATAAAGCATTGAAAGAGCAATTAATGGGTCCATGTTGATTTAGTTATGTGATTGATTAATGTGGCATGAAGCCAGGACAGCCTCATGGAGAAATCCATCCCTCCATCCATCTATCCGTCCATCTGATAACATTCAGAATCTGTGTGTGTTAGGAAATCAGAATACCAAGGGGAACAAGATAAAAACCTTGGCCCTGGAGGTACTTATTGTCTGGACTCGGAGACAGGTTCAGTGGAAAGTAAGGATTAGGATCTAGTGCGTGAGTCTGGAGTTCCTGGGGAGGGGTTGGAACCCAGCCTGGGGGCTTGAGAGAGAAGGTGACCTTCAAAAACCAGAATCAGGGAGGCAGGGAAGGTAAGAGGACTGACTTGCGAGGTGAGTACTTAGTAGGCACACGTACCCAGAGGGTCTGCACTGAACGGATAGAAGTGTTCATAAGTTTTTTGTCCAAATGCCTAGCCCCTCCCCACATCGCTAGAACTCAAGTATCAGCTTTCAACCCTTAGGGCCTTCTCCTCGGGCTGACCTGGATCCGACTGGCCGGCTCAGACCCTGTCTGCCCTGGGTTGCTCCTCTATCTTGCTCAGTGGGGCTGCTCCAGCTCTCTGGTGGGACAACGCGGGGGCATCTCCACAGAGCTTCAGCCACTTGCACCTGGGGCCGGGAGCTGCCCCCTGAGGTGTGCACCCTTGGGGTCCCGCGTGTGCTCTCACCTTTCCAGTCCATCCTCCTCATCTCAACCAAGGTGACCTCTGTAGAAACACTCCTCTGCTTCCAGTCCTTCAGAGTGACCTTGTGTCCCTAAGGATAAAACCCAACTCCGCCCAGCAGCTTCCGAGGCCAGCGCATGCTCCACGCTGGTCTGCAGGCCCCTCTGGCTGGCAGCTGTCCTCACCTATGAGATTAGTTCCCCCGGTGCACTTCCCGCTTCCTCTTCTGAATTAGTTTCTACTCACCGTTTGGTCCCAATTCCACGCGCGGTCGTCAGGAAAGCCGCTTGGATGCCTCAGGTGAGCTCTGCCATCGCCCCTGCAGCTCTCCATGGCGATCGTCGAGTCACCTGAGCACCTGCATCAGGTTGAACAACGTCCGCCCCACATTCAGGTCCACCCGGAACCTCAGAGCGTGGCCTTCTGTGACAACAGGGTCTTTGCAAATGTACGTAAGGATTTTGACAATGTCATACAGGCCCGAGGACGGGTCCTAAATCCAATGACTAGTGTCTTTATAAGAAGAGAGGACACTGAGGGACACACAGAGGTGGAGATGGGAAGATGGAGGCAGAGATTGCAGAGATGCCCCTACAAGCCAAGAACACCAAGGGCTGCTGGCCACCACGGGGAGCTGGGAGCGAGGCTTGGATCAGAGTCTCCCTCTGAACTTCCAGAAGGAACCGATCTGGTAGACATGTGGACTTCAGACTTCTCACCTCCCAAGCTGGGAGAGACTAAATTTACCATTTTAAGCCGCCTAGCTTGTGGTCGTTTGTCACAGCCGCCACAGGAAATTCATACACCTCGAGCCTAGCTCTGGGCGTCAGGGAGAGAAGTGCCTTATCTATTCTTCCCCTTTATATTCTTAGCCCGTAGGCAATTCATAAACCTTTGTTCGTCAATAAATGGGCTTTAGGCATTCATAATGCCTCGAAGTGTCACCCCAAGTTTTCCACGTAGGGATTTCTTTTGGGGGAAGGAGTTAAACCACACCATTTACCAGATCGCCAGAGGAAAATGGATCGCCAAAAGCTTGGGAACTTGTGCTTTTGGTGGCGGGTGGGTTTGTGGGGAAACTGATATGTGTGTGTGTGTGGGGGGGGCTGGGCATTCTTAGGGGCTGTCCCCACCTGCACGCACTCCTCCTGAGAAAGAGGGGGGGGGGCTGGGCATTCTTAGGGGCTGTCCCCACCTGCACACTCTCCTCCTGAGAAAGAGGGGGGGGACTGGGCATTCTTAGGGGCTGTCCCCACCTGCACACTCTCCTCCTGAGAAAGAGGGCCTCAGGGACCAGAGAACAGTGTGTGGTGAGCCCTGCGAGCTCTTCCTGCCGTGAATGGAAATGCTTTCTCCGTCTGAGCCTTGTGACGGCCAGGCAGACGGCCCTCTGGCCCGAGGGCCTGGGCTTCTCACGTTGGGCTCTGTTGACAGGAAGGCGGGCTTCCTGTGCGGCCGAGGATTACTCTGTCCCTGGCTGCTCCCCCTGCCGCTCATGCCAGGGGGGAACCAGGGTTCCCAGACCAGAACTCTTTTGGCCAAACAGGGTGACTTGAGAACGTAACTTTTCTATTGTCTTTTGTAAAGATTAGCATGTTAGTTTCCTAGGACAGACTCCACAAATCACCACAAACGGGATGGCTTAAAGCAATGCCGTTTTATCCCCTCGCCGTTCCAGAGCCCAGAAGTCCTCCACCGAGGTGCCAGCAGGGCTGATCCTTCCAGAAGCTCTCAGGTGGGATCGGTCCCAGGCCTCTTCTAGTTTCTGGTGGGTGCGGGCGGCCCTTGGCCTTCCTGGTGTGTGGACACAGCACTCCATTCTCTGCCTCCGTTGTTGCATGGCGTTCTCCCTGTGCACAGCTGAGCTGAGCAGTGCTGGTGAACATTTGAAAGTTAAAGAAGGGTAGGATAGCCCTAGCTGGTTTGGCTCAGTGGATAGAGCATCAGACTGTGGATCGAAAAGTCCTGGGTTTGATTCTGGTCAAGGGCATGTACCTCGGTTGCAGGCTCCTCCCCGGCCCAGGCCCTGATCGGGGCTCCTGCAGGAAGCAACCAATCAATGTGTTTCTCTCACATCGACGTTTCTCTCTGTCTCCTCCTCTCTTTCACCCTTCCTAAAAATCAATGGAAAAATATCCTCAGATGAGGATAAACAAAAACAAACAAACAAAAAGGATAAAATAACCAGAAGAAAATCAAAATGTCAGAATTTAAGTGGAAACGCCGGGGACTTAGTAATTAACTACAACTTAACCATTTCAAGCAGGTAGAAACTGGCATGGCAAGGTAGGGTGGAGGAATGACGTGCTCAGGCTGTAGGGAAATAGACAGAGGCTTTCCCTGGCCTCTCTTCCAGCTCTCCAAGAGCCTGAGAAATGTGAAAATCATCCAAGTCCTCAGGACAACCCAGTGAATGATCCTGATGGTTGAACGCTAGTTCAGTTCTTGTGGGCAGCGTGGCCAGGGAGGGCCATGGCTCGTTTCACCTGATATGGAAACACCACTTATTTCTTGAACATTCTCAGGTTCAAGAGTAACCTGCGTAAGTCTCCTGGCGGGTGACTGGAGTCAGGCAGTGGCCTTCGGATGTGCAGACTAAGGTTTGAGCACCTGAGCAGTCTTGACCCACAGGCGTCTGAGGGGAGAGAAGAAGGATGCCCCGTGAACACAGAGAAGTGGTCCCAGCCAGCAGAGCCCAGATCTGCCCACTCACTGAAATTGTCCGCTGGGCTGGCTCAGACGTGAGGTGGACGGTACATTGTAAATACATTTCATAGGTGGATAGACTTGCACTAGAGCAGTGGTCGGCAAGCCGCGGCTCGCGAGCCACATGCGGCTCTTTGGCCCCTTGAGTGTGGCTCTTCCACAAAATACCACATGCGGGCGCGCACGTACAGTGCGATTGAAACTTCGTGGCCCATGCGCAGAAGTCGGTATTTTGTGGAAGAGCCACACTCAAGGGGCCAAAGAGCCGCATGTGGCTCGCGAGCCGCAGTTTGCCGACCACTGGGCTAGAGTAACTCTGCGTTGGAATTCTCTCCCTTCCTGCGCCACCTCTTCTCCGCCAACAATTTAATCCGCCTTAAAGTCGGTGCTGTTGCTGAGACTTGTAGGCGGTGGCTGAGCTAGACGTCCGAGGGCAGTGTTCACCCCTGGGAGGTCAGAGGCTGTCAGGGGCTTAGGCTGTTTCTAAAAAGGGCCCAGCAGGGAGTGGGATGAGCTGTCAGTTCAGCCAAACACCCGATTGGATTTCTGTTCTCAGCATTGGCTTTCGCAACTATTCCTCCATCCTGTTACCTCTCAGGACTGCCTCAGCGCTCTGCCGCCCCTGGGGTTCGCAGTAACCTAAAGGAAGAGGAGAACCAGGCTGGCGCCCAGAGCTGCAGGGGAGTGTAATGAGGTCTGGCGGACGCCGTGAGAGCTAGAACTTTCTGAAGGAGACCTACATCAGCAAGAACAAGGCTCTTCCCCCACCATGGACTTCCCATCCAGCTCTGCCCCCCGAACCCCCCGTGGTAATTCAGATTCAGGGCTGAGGACCCTCATCAGGGAGACATCCTCTTGTCCTGTGACCTTCATCATGAATTCTGAGATGGTTGCTTTGGGAGGTCCCAGCCCATCTTTTCCTTGTCGCTCTCAGCGTCACGGGGCAGGCAGTTGTACATCGTTGCCGTTGGGTAAGTAGGTCAAGGAGACACTGAAATCACGTCCTGCCCGCCTGGGGCAAGGTGAAGC